CAGCTTTCCTCTTCCTCCCAGTGCAGACATCACAGGCCACATCTTCAGGTCCAGCATAGCAGTGATCAGCAGAAATAACTTGGAGTCCACTCTTTTTTATATCCTTAACTAACTCAGCTAATATGACACTTTTTTCCAAGTCAGGCTTTGGTTGGAACTCTTTCCTGCACTGAGGGCAGCTGCAGATACTCCCCTGATCTTTTCCATCCCAGTGGTCTTTAATACAGTTCATACAGTAGCTGTGTCCACAGGGAATAGTCACTGGATCCTTCAATAGATCCAAACAAATGGAGCAGGAGAAGTTACCTTGGTCTAGTCGGACTATTCTCTGCTCCATTTCAGCTCTCACTATCACCTGTTTAAGTTTCTCTTCTGTATAACAGAAACTCGTTTGTGCTCAAATCTATCAGGTTCCATCAGGAAACGTCACTGGTTCCACCCATAATTATGCTTGTAAACCAGGGGGAGGGAACACGGTTATACTTTCAACTGAACACTTGAATAGGTTTTACAACTGTACTTTGTCCTTTATGAGTACTTTGTACTACTATGAGTAGTTTACCGAATCTGAATTTTACTTGAGTGAATTTGATAAAAGAATTCAACTCAACTACATGACTGTTTATGTTAGTGCTCTGTTAGTCAAAAAAAAAAGAAAACTAAATAAGAAGCAGTAATCCATTTGCTTTTTGAGGCAAAAAGCTATGTTTGGGGAGTGTCTGATGGTTCTCACAAAATCTTTTTTCTTAAAGGACAACTGTGGCGAAGTCTAGTATTTGTACTTTTATGCATCCCTTGCAAATGGTTGCCCTACCGGAGTTCTCAGTCAATGCAGGTCGCATCTGTCTATGCCCAGTGTTGTTAAATTTGGCAGATCCTTGTTGACCTCTTTGTGTTCCACCTCCTTTCTGGATGACCTGCTTTCCAGAAAATTATGCATTTCGCTTGTTCATAGATATACTTGATCTGTCCATTTGACAGACTAAGGGGGGGACTCTGATTATATAGTGCAACGGACATTGTAGGAATGAGCAGACTGCCTAGAAATGCTTCAGTTTGTGATGGAACAGAGGACACACAGATAAAGTAGTTTATATGAATGAGGGCTAAAATATTAAAGGACAACTGTGGCGAAGTCTATAGTCGGCCACCTCAGGTCTGTCAACGTAGAGGCCCAATTTGGCAAGATGTTCCGGAACAGGTATCCTGCAAAAGTTTCTTCTACGTATGGTGTGTAGATCGGGCTTACTTCTGAGGGCGTGCCTTCCCTCTGCCTTCGATAGCTCAGTTGGTAGAGTGGAGGACTGTAGAGAGCAATAGAGGATATCCTTAGGTCGCTGGTTCAAATCCGGCTTGAAGGAAAGAGTTTTGTCAAACTACCCACAGAGATAGCGGTAGGAGAACAAGCACTTTATGACAACAGTCTTTTATGAACCCTTTTCGCAAAGTCCTAAGGGATTATGTTTGTGCTTGTCAATAGATTTTAAAACTGTTGCTGTGTTTTTCCATTGAGTTTTAGTAGTATTTTTTAATATGACTGTGTTGTGTCTGCAGCAACCATTGTCACCAGTTTAACATTACCTTAAAACTACAGGAGTAGAATGTGGGTAGCTACATCAAGCACATACCCTAATGTATTTCTAAATATTTTGCATCAAAATCAATGTCTCTGAGTGAGGTAGGGCAGAAAACAGATAGAGCATGTAAAGACATGGAAGAGGGCAGCCGTGATCGTATAGTGGTCAGTACTCTGCGTTGTGGCCGCAGTAACCCCGGTTTGAATCCGGGTCACGGCAGAACTGTTTAAAAGAACATGCTAAAACCAATTCCAGTAGAGTTATTGCTGAGTGTACAGGAAGAGAGGCTTCTTTTGAAGTGTTTGGATGGGGCAGGGTGTACCCCTGAACTTTATTCCATTCAACACACCTCAAATAACTCAGAGCTTCACATCATTGCTGCGGAACACTACATAATACAGTTATGGCTCCTTCCGAATGGGAGAAAATTGAAACCAAGCAGATGTACGTCAGAGGTTGCCATGACATGCGATGTACAGGTAGATCTGGCAGTAATATGTAAACTTGTAGGAGTCAGTGAAGGGACCTCCTGACCTTCTTATATCCCTGTACAAGCCGTATAGTTACCATAACCCTTTATATGAAAGGACATATATGTAACACTTGGGGCTTGACTGACTGCTAAATGAGCTCCGAAGTAGATTCAGCTACAGAGTAGAGGGGGTTGAATAAGCACAACAAAGAAAATTATGATTAATAGTTGTATATTTATTTTTCTAATAGAAAAAGTATTGGTTACATATACATGTTTATGAGCTATATTATATGATTTATATGGATATGAATTGATGGAATATACATACACAAGTTAGATGGTCAATATAATTTACAAATAAACAAAACAAATATATTCCAACAGGATAATTCAAAAGGAAAAAAAAAAACAAAGACCCCCCCCCAAAAAAAGAAATTGAAACTCTTCAGTTCAATTAGTTACAGGTTCACAGTTCATCAGGTCCATTGGGAAACCAAATTCAGAGGTTTGTAAGAAACTATACAGAATATGATCTGAAACATCATCAAAATTGAATAGATTGTTCATTGGCATAAGAAACACATCTGATAAAAAAAATCTGTAAAATCTGTTTGTAGCTTCTCTAGTTATTTTGAAAACAGAAAAAACAACGGCATTGACAATATATTCTCCTTGTCATTGGTAATTAGGACTAACAGTCTTTATATATACATATATACATAAAGATTTTTTTTTTAAATGTTCTTAGTCACACTCTGATGTGGACTGCTTTTTAATTACAAATCGCATGTTTATTGTGCTTCTCATAACATATTTTTAATTTAACATAATGGTTTTGAAATGTGCATTTATTCTTCTGATAACTTCTGCCGCTCAGCATTTTAACTGTGGCCCGGTCCTCTGAAGTCACATCCCAGGAGAGTGTTTTTTAAAACCAATTGGGGGGAAGTGCAGTATACTTCCTTTTTTCCATCTGACCTAATTCATGAAAGGAGCCCAAAAGTTACAGCTGAACATCACGTTCCATGTGGTGGAAACTCCGGAGCTGCGGCCTAGCTTTGCTGGTGAGGTGGCTGCATCCAGCATCAGCAGTTGCTGCTCATTGATTTTAGGGGTTAAGGAAACCGTAATCTCCACCCTCGACCGAATTACTACCAGGGTTTTGTCCTGGCTAGGCCTGTTCATCCAAGGTGTGTTTTTGACCACTGTTGAGTCATTTCTGATTCCCAAACCAGCTGCCAAGCTGCTGTTCTGCCTTTTGCTGATGGTAAGCTGCAGAATCTCCGCTAAGTTGTTCTGCAACCTGACGGTGCTCTTATATGTTCAGCTTTACTGTGAGTTACAATAAGTTGAGATTCTACAAAGTCCCTACACTGGAAAAATTATTTAGAAATAAGTAAAAACTTCTTAAATTAA